GCCACTGGTGGGGGACACAGGAGGGGTACTATATCACTTCTACTTTATTTAATTATTAGACCCACTGTGAGGGATCAAGGGGCGACCATGATTTTTCTGTACCCAGTTCTTTAAATGGAAGACCCCACTCGTGATTAGATGATTAGAATGATAGTGTATATTGTGGCGAAAGTAACCTCGCCAGCCTCTTGCCCTGTGACTATGGCCCCTGGGGTGTATTGCCTTTTAAAAACACTATTTGTGCATATTGGGACTTAACACAATGCCCCTTTCAAACATGTGGCGGCGGCCATCTTAAGTTGTCCAGCAGTGTTTTGTCGTTGAGTGTATGGAACTGTTTTGGGCATGGGACCATGTGCATGGTGGGGCAAAAATAAGACTTCCAGGAAATTCCTGAACACCTGAACCGATCTGGGTGATTTTTGGATGTGTTGTTCACCCAGATCAGGGCTATCAGAGGATGTGGGGATATGCTGTATTTTGGGGTACTTTTTGGGGTTTTTAAAAATGTTAGTTTTTTTCTGCATAGCGTTAATTGAATTAGTCCATTGTCTTTGTTAATTATATCACAGGCAGAGGGGAGGGATTGTGTACACTGTATGGGAGTGACTGAATGTAAAACTATGTCTTTATTGGTTTGTTGTTCCTGTGTCCCTGTGTCCCACAAGGTCCACCTGGCTGGTAACCTTGTGGGGAAAACTGTATAAAAGACAATAAATGTGACGAGACCAATCTCGCCACATTGGATTGGAGAAGCCTGGTTGCTCGCCTGTTGCCTTTGGATGATGGCCCCATGTTAAAAGGCTTGATTTTCCCCTGCAAAGACATGAGTCATTTGGGTCAGCCCTGTTTAAGCGGTGATACCCCAGATAGCTATGCCATTGAGCCTTTTCATATAATGAAAGACTATGGGAAAGACTTTGGCTCCATGGCAATTGAACTGTATGTGTGTGCTCTGAGCGCCATTCAGTAATAATGTGCGCTCAAATCTGAGCTATCTGGGGATATGTTGAATGTACATGTTTTGTGCAATGGCTGCACAGTTATATGTTTTTATGTGTTTTATTGTCTTTTGCTGCCATGTGTTCAATGGAGTTTTGCCTCTGTCTTTGGAGATATTTGGATTACTTCCCAATTATCTCCAGCATAGACTCTGTGGAACTGGTTTTGGGCAGAAAAACCATGCTTCCTTTGGTCACAAAGGACTACAATCTATCTTTTAAACCATTGGACCAATTTGTATGAATTTGACATGTTTGTATTTGGAGTATGCTGATTCTGAAAATGTAAGATTTATGTGAATGTGATGCATACTTTTCAAGTTATGAATAATGTGGAAAAAATTTATTTATCTGCTTGTGCTAATTACATTACCCATTGTGTAAGGTAATCGAATCACAGGCAGAGGGGAGGAATTTGTGTGGGAGTGTCTGAGTGTATTGTATGTGTTTATTGGTTGTGTTCCAAAACCCTGTGGTTGGTACTAATGTGTAAGAATGTGTACATAAGCACAATAAACCCACAGCTCTGTCTGTTCACTGCTTGACCCTCAACACGGAGCTTTGTCTCATTCCTGGGGGGATTTATTGTATGCTGTTCCAGTTTGACTGCTAGGAGTGTAAACCTATTCGTATGGTTTTTCCTATTCGGCTGTTTACAGCATTCATATGGTTTCCTGTTCGGCGGATTGGTGTTCTGCAGTAGCTGTGCCTGTGTCTCTGGAAGGGGAAGATCTCCTAAACGGTGGATTAACCCTTTTTTTGCTGAGGGTGCCGTTACAATAAACCCTCAAATCTGCTGAGTTCCTGTTTAACTCTCAACATAGAGCCTCGTCTCGTGTGTGGGGGGAAAGGCTGCATCTACACTGGGGGAATGCAATACTCTGTATACTCCCCTGAGCTTGTTCCTGCTACTCTCTCTTGGAAGAGAGGTTCACCCACTGGAACCTGGAGCCTTGGCCAGGGTGGGTAGAGTACGTTGAGTTCCCAGCCAAGCTGCGGCAGTTCGTGGGATCTGCAGTGCTTATGGTGTCTGGTGCGGTTTGTCTCCCATGGTCTGCATATGCACACGCTGTAGAATAACCACGCAACCTATTTAAACATGCCGGATCAGAAGAGGACATGAAGCTCTTGAGAAAGTCTGAACGGATGAAAGGTGTTGCGCTAGCAGTTACTGCATTACCCCAATGAAGGAAGCTGACACCCGCAAGCCAGATCAAGACTTTACAACTACCTATAACTGGACTGGTTTCTAGAGGTATCAATGGCCCGTCCTACAGGTTGGGGAGTGTCACGTATTCATCCGCTTATAAAAATGTGGTTAATGGCATTTACTGTCCACACAGGAAAAGTTGTGCCGAGTAGCAAGCAAATCCACAGAATGGTTAATGCTGAGCATCAATTATGCAAATGGGAACCTGGTAACTGCCTTTGGGGTCAAAGGCCGGTTACAGCCTATCAGATCTAGAGGAGGTGTATTTAGGCCCAGTTCTCACCCTGCTCAGTGCCCTGTCGTGGTTTCCCTTGTGGTTGCCCAAGAACTCGGTCCTGATTCAAGTTTCTTCTGGTTTTTGACTTTGGCTTTGATTTTGACTTCCCTGTATTCTGGTATCCCTGACTTCTTGCTTTCCTTTATCATTATACCTCTTTTTGTATCCCCTAACCTCGGCAAGTATCTGACTATTCTTTGGTACGTTAAGTCCGGCCATTCTAAGGCCCGGTAATACGTTACCTATTAGTAATCTGTGTGACACAATTCTACGTGCTGGATCAACTAGTAAACCTGACAGGGAGTAAGCCCCCCCTTGAGGCTTATATGCTTTCTTGCACAAACAGAAATAATTATCTTTGTGCCACTTTCCTTGTGAGTTTTATTTAATTGTTATTAATATTTGTCATTTTAATAGAAACATAGAAACATAAAATGTGACGGCAGATAAGAACCATTCGGCCCTTCTAGTCTGCCCAATTTTCTAAGTACTTTCATTAGTCCCTAGCCTAATCTTATAGTTAGGATAGCCTTATGCCTATCCCACGCATGCTTAAATTCCTTTACTGTGTTAACCTCTACCACTTCAGCTGGAAGGCTATTCCATGCATCCACTACCCTTTCAGTAAAGTAATACTTCCTGATATTATTTTTAAACCTTTGCCCCTCTAATTTAAGACTATGTCCTCTTGTTGTGGTAGTTTTTCTTCTTTTAAATATGGTCTTCTCCTTTACTGTGTTGATTCCCTGTATGTATTTAAATGTTTCTACCATATCCCCCCTGTCTTGTCTTTCCTCCAAGCTATACATGTTAAGATCCTTTAACCTTTCCTGGTAAGTTTTATCCTGCAATCCATGAACCAGTTTAGTAGCCCTTCTCTGAACCCTCTCTAAAGTATCAATATCCTTCTAAAGATACGGTCTCCAGTACTGCATACAATACTACAAGTGAGGTCTCACTAGTGTTCTGTACAATGGCATGAGCACTTCCCTCTTTCTACTGTTAATGCCTCTCCCTATACAACCAAGCATTCTGCTAGCATTTTGCTGCTGCTCTATTACATCGTCTGCCTACCTTTAATTAGAGTTAAGTGGACACCTGGATGTTCGGGTCCGGCGGGTTCGACCCTACTTTGAAAAAAAGTCCGGGTTCAGGCCCGAACTTGACCCCGAACCCCATTGAAGTCAATGGGGACCCGAACTTCTGGGCACAAAAATGTCTCTAAAATACTCCTGGAAAGGGCAAGAGGGCTGCAAAATGAAGTAAAATGTGGGTAAGAGTAGGACAAGTGCCCTGCAAAAAATGTGGATTGGGAAATCACTTAAAATACCATAAAAATTTAAAATACAGCTGAGCCATAAAATAGCACTAGATGGAATCTTTGATTTTAGCTTTGGAAGAACATAAATCAAAATCTAAAGCATGGCTGTCAGGAGGATTACCAGAATTATCTATTTGAGAGAGGGTTGGAGTGCAGGGTATTCTCTTTCATTGTTCAAACTGAGCTCAACTCCTGATGCATGAAGAAAAGGCCTTTACAAGCCTCTGCTATTGTGTACATACTAAGTGACCCATAGGTTGAGGAAGCAGTGACCATGGCGGTGTAGGTGGAAGCGGCGGTGGAGGAGGTAGCCAACACTGTTATATATATATATATATAATGCAGAGAATAAGAGATGCACTCTAAGGACTTGTATAAGCAAAAGTTGCAGTATTTATTAAAAATAAGGTTTACATAGTATGATCGACGTTTCGACCCCTCAGGGTCTTCCTCAAGATCAATATGTCAAAGTCTGTGAAATCAATAAATAGTGAAATAAGAAAAGTACTCACCAATGGTGAATTGCCTCCCTCATCCTCTCCGTGCGAACCCGGAAGTGAACGCGCGATCACGTGGTGCGGCGTAATGCGGCGTGATGACGTGTTGCTAAGATACCAGTGTAACAAGTGCTGGATAGGAGCGTGTGTAATACACGCTGAATATAGCAATGTGTAACAATGTGCCCATACTGAAAAGTGACCAGAGTATTGTGTGTAAACGATACACTAATAAAGTGACAAGTGCTGATAAATAAGTGCCAATACATGCATAAAAAATGTGCATGCATTGGCACTTATTTATCAGCACTTGTCACTTTATTAGTGTATCGTTTACACACAATACTCTGGTCACTTTTCAGTGTGGGCACATTGTTACACATTGCTATATTCAGCGTGTATTACACACGCTCCTATCCAGCACTTGTTACACTGGTATCTTAGCAACACGTCATCACGACGGCATTACGCCGCACCACGTGATTGCGCGTTCACTTCCGGGTTTGCACGGAGAGGATGAGGGAGGCAATTCACCATTGGTGAGTACTTTTCTTATTTCACTATTTATTGATTTCACAGACTTTGACATATTGATCTTGAGGAAGACCCTGAGGGGTCGAAACGTCGATCATACTATGTAAACCTTCTTTTTAATAAATACTGCAACTTTTGCTTATACAAGTCCTTAGAGTGCATCTCTTATTCTCTGCATATACTTTTCAACGTGGGATTGCACCAAGGCATCAAAAAACTTTGTATTGGAGAAAGGGTGAGTGCCAAGCATTTCTGTTTTATTTATATATATATATATATATATATATATATATATATATATATATATTTTATTTTTTTGGGGACATATAAAAAAAGACAACTCTGTTCTGCTGTAGCTGTTGAAAGTAGCTGTTGACATTATAGTTGCGCAGGCACTTTGTTGACGCTAGAGAACCTCGGGCCAATCGCAACTTTCAATGCCAGTTTCTCCGCCTACCATGGTGACCACGGGTAACGGGGAATCAGGGTTCCATTCCGTACAGGGACCCTGAGAAACGACTACCGCATGCAAGGAAGGCAGCATGCATGCAAATGACCCACTCCCGACGCGGGAAGGTAGTGACGACAAATAACAATACAGAACTCTTTAGAGACCCTGTAATTGTAATGAGTCCACTTGAAATCCTTTAACTCTGATCAATTGGAGGGAAGTCTGGTGCAGAGCCACTGACCTGTGTGTGCTGCAGCTGAAACTCCACTATCGCCTGCTGCTGCTCGCACAGTATCATGAGGTGGTGAGCGGGAAGGCAGAAGTTATGCTGCAGCACAGACAGGCGAGCAGCAGCAGGGTGAGAACCCCAAAAGCATGCACAGACGGCTTGCACTTTCTCCAGCAGCTCTGATATATCCCTGTGGCATCACAAGGGTCACCCAGAACTGGCTCAACTCCCATCAAGCCAAGTTCCCGAAGGAGATCACCCAGCTCGTCATGCTAGAGCACTTTTTCAATGTGCTCCCCAACGAGAAGGCGACGACGCATTCGTATGTCATCCATATCAACTTTCGATACCATTGACTGCGCCTACCATGGTGACCATGGGTAACTGGGAAACAGGGTTCCATTCCGTACAGGGACCTTGAGAAATGACTACCACATGTAAGGAAGGCAACAGGTGTGCAAATGACCTACTCCCAACGCGGGAAGGTAGTGACGACAAGTAACAATACAGGACTCTCTAGAGGCCCTGTAATTGTTATAAGTCCACTTGAAATCCTTTAACTCTGATCAATTGGAGGGACGTTTGGTGCAGAGTCACTGATCCGCGCGTGCTGCAGCTGAAACTCCACTATCGCCTGCTGCTGCTCAAACAGTCTCTCCAGCATGTGCAAGGTGGAGTTCCACCTTGTGGGCATGTCGCAAATGAGGCAGTGAATGGGAAGGCCAAACTTACGCTGCAGCGCAGACAGGCGAGCAGCAGCAGGGTGAGAACGCCCAAAGCGTGCACAGCCGCTATAGTGAATGTCACATCCTGTTCCAAGTTGCGGATCAGTCTGGTGATGGCTTCTGGTATCCAGTACTGTTTTTACTGAAGCTGCATCAGGGTCCTGGTATGTGGCCACATAAATGCTGGTGCTCAACATCAGGGGGCATGCGGTTACCCTGCACCAGACCCTGCTAATCCATTCCACACTGTGACTCCTAACATCACCATCAGGCATACTGGGTCCCGGTCGTCCAACCGCCACCCAGACAGTGTCTGGGTCCCGGTCACTGGACTGCCCACCTGACTGTGAAACTACGAATGAATTGTTGAATCGGGTACGAACCCGAACTTTGCAGTTTGCTTGTCTGGATCTGGTTTTAACAAACAACGTTGATCTTTTGACCAACATTCACGTAGGTGAGCACTTGGGAAATAGTGATCACAATATAGTGTCCTTAGAAATAAACTCAATAAAACAAAAGCACATGGGGTATACTAAAGCATATAATTTTGAAAAGGC